CGACGCAGCAACAGATACGAACAACTCAAGCACCCAAAAGACCCACATCAACTCGCGATCTTTAATTTCTGTAAAGCACCCAATTAGCATTTATCCCTTTATCAGCTTTTTCAAAATGGAGTTGGATGTCGTCGTGTGCTCCACGTCGGGCAAGCCTGTCTTCCGCCACAGAGTGTCCACTTTAACTACTAAACGTCCATCTGAAGAGGACGAATCGTCCGCCAGTTCGTTCTCGAGTTCGCTGCAAGGTCTCTTGTCCTTCGTGGCTTGTACGCAGCACGAGGAGCTGCTGGAGCTGCAAGCTGCCGGCTGTCACTGTGTGTTCCGCAGCTCCGAGAGCCTCACATTCGCTGCCATTGCGCGGAGCGTGCAGGAGGAGGATAGTGTTTACAATAACGATACACCGAGCTTTGCGTCGCAGTGTCTGCAGCACCTTCTACAGCTGCTACAGCACCAGATTCTGTTTGTATTGAGCGATAGAGGCCTCGACGTGCTGCGACGACAGCCAGGCTACGACCTACGAGAGCTTCTCAATGGCACGGAGAGAGTCACGAGGTCATTGACGGAGCTCTGGGCCACGACTCCAACGCTGAGGTTCAAGGACTGTGGAGTGCTGTTCGTACGTCTAAAGCCCGAGAGACGACGGGAAGTCACGAGAGCCTTGGAGTTTGAGGAGAATATTTCAGCACCTTCGATGATCTGTGGACTACTGTTGGCTAGGAAGCAAGTTGTGGCTATCTCTCAGCCCAACAAGAAGCAGTTTAGCATACTCGTCGATGGTACGAACTACGTAGCACTAGTAGTAGCATCTCGGATATATTAACGATAGGAATGCGTCGCTTGTAGATCTATTACTACTGATCAACTTCGTGTACAATACGCCGTCACTGGCCAAGAGCGAGACGTGGACGCCGATCTGTTTGTCAAACTTTAATGCCCGGTGCGTAAAGTTTATGAGTGGTAGATGTCGGTTGTGTACTCACGTTTTCATTATGTTGGTGAGTATCGAATACAATCACTGACTCTGTACCCGAG